TTGTAGGTACATCATGAATAATAAGGGTGACAGGGGGCACCCCTGCCTAAGCCCCCGTTTTACCTCTGCAGGCTTGGATACCTGTTTTTCCCACTTTATAACTACCTTGTTACCTTTATAGATACCCTTTAAAAGATTAGTGACTACATGTTCCACGCCTAGTGTGCCCAGTATTCCCCACAATTCCTCTTGAACCACGCTATCATACGCTCCCTTGATATCCAAAAATGCTAGCCACAGAGGCCTGTGTTCCTTTTCTGCTATTTCGATGCACTGCGTCAGTGAGAACAGATTGTCTTGCAACCTCCTGTGTTTCCGAAACCCATTCTGCAGTTCCCCCAGCACCCCCTCATCATCTCTCCACGCCTGCAGTCTTTCCTTTATAATCTGCATCGCCAGCCTGTAGACCACTGATGTCACTGTTATAGGACGGTAGTTGTTTATGTCAGCTTTGTCCCCCTTTCCTTTATAGATCATGCTCATCCTGCTAAGTTTCCATCCATCGGGAACTTCACCATCGATTATTATTGTGCTCACTGCCTTTCTCAAAGCCTGCTTAGACTTCGGACCTAATGTCTTTATCAGCCTAATTGGAATGCCATCTGGGCCTGTTGATGTACCACTAGGGACCCTTTTCTCAGCCCTTTCCCACTCTTGTTGTGAAAATGGAGCTATCGCACCACTTGAATCGTCCTTGTCTATTGTGGTGCATAAAGTACTTTGTTGAAATTTTTCTGTCACCCTTGTTCTTATATATTCAATAGCTTCGTCCCCTTCTAGCCTAGCACCTTGGGCTGTAGTTATAAAACTCTGCTCTAGGCTCGTCTCATTTCTTAGGGAGTTTAGATGGTTCCAAAATTTCGCAGCTGCCTTCTATCTTTTTTATGTACTTCTGCCAGCCACTGAGCTCCCTTCCTTCTAATCTTTTCATTGATAAGAAGGGATGCATCCCTTCTACAGCTTAGAAAGGTTGCCCATTTTCTTTCAACTTCATCTGTCGGTTCACCCCGCTGCTTAGCATGTCTGTGTTCCCTAGAGGCTTCCTGACGTTTTGCTATGGCTCTCTTAACTTCCTCATCCCACCAACTTTTGGGTTTGTGTCTTCTTTTCCGGGGTGACTTCTCACGCGTCTTAGCAAGCTCTAACTCAGAGTCTAATTAGATTCGTGTATGTCCACACTGTCTTATTATCCTCCGTGATTACTTTCTCAATTTGTTTAGTGGCTATTTCAATTTGCCTTTCTGAATAAAAATTTTCCTGTAGTTGCTCATCTTGTCTCCTTCCCACTTTCACTGCTCTTCCAAAACTTAGCTTGATACGTTTGTGATCGCTGCCCAGACTTCTGGAGCCACCTTCATCTATGTGCATTCCCCTGAGCTTATCATACACCCTATGTGACATCAGTGCATAATCTATCATCGACTGAAGCCTTCCTACCTCCCATGTTATTTGCCCTTCGCACTTCTCGGTACTCTTGCAAATGATCAAATCAAGCCTTTCACACATATCCATGATCATTTTGCCTGTCGGGTCGGTATACCCATCTATATCTTCTATGTGAGATATATGGACGCCATCTGGCAGTGCCCTCGAGAAACATGAGCTTGTGCAGAACCCAGGGCCGCTGCCTTAAGGCATCATCATACTGCCAACAGAGATTTTTTTTTGCTGCATTGCATTTTCAGCGCAGCGTAGAAAAACTTAGGGCTTTTATAATCACGTGCCTATGTATTTTTTTTAGAAAAGGAACACACCACACAGTAATTACGTACTGATGTGCCTCGGATTTGCGTGATATTTGCTTTTTGATGCACGGCATTCGCGAGTATGAACGCACCCAATGTTTAAGGCGGCTGGCCGTTTAGCGAGTGCTCAAACTTTTGCCAGGTGGCCGAATCATGTGACATACAGACAAACAGACAGATGGAGATAAAGTAAAAAAATTCTGCTTTGCAGTATCCCAAGAAATAGTATCGTCTTTCAGAATCACGTCTCAGCTTTAGTGGTACATATCAGCAAACGCATAACAGGCTTTGCAGAAAATTGAACAACGTGGCAGGAACCAGTTTCGAAAGGCGTGTTCGGAATATTGATAGGTCCGTAATTTCGCACGAAGTGGAGGCGGAGTGGCGCGAAATGAAGTGGCGCATTCGGTAGCATGCTACTACAATGTGCATGTTGAGCTCCATGTCCTTGTACGTATTGAAGTTGCATATTTGCGTGCGCATATCTTCTTTTAGGGCAGTTTGCGTAACCATTGTTCGACGGTGTTCCTGTGGTATAAAAATAATATATTGGGGCCATTTGTTGACCTTTTCTGTATGTAAAGTGTAGTTTACTTAGAATCCACTCACTTCTACAAAGATATGGCGTGTGAGGGTGCTCATAATGAAAAAAAATGAGTAAATAAGCGAACATTTATGCTAGAATAAATACCAACACGGCGCTAAGAGCTGATTCTATCACACATAGGCGTCAGAAAAGTTATTTCATTCTAGATAGGTTGTTCTTCAGCTTTCCGCTTGTTCTTAGGAGCGAAGCTCCTTAAGCCGTTGCTCGTGCGTCCGCGATCTATGTTGTTGTTGTTGTTATTGTTGTTATTGTTGTTGTCATTGTTGTTGTTGTCATTGTTGTTGTTGTCATTGTTGTTGTTGTTGTTGTTATTGTTGTTGTTGTTGTTGTCATTGCTGTTGTTGTTGTCAATGTTGTTGTTGTTGTCGTCAATGTTGTTGTTGTTGTTGTCAATGTTGTTGTTGTTGTCGTCAATGTTGTTGTTGTTGTCGTCAATGTTGTTGTTGTTGTCGTAAATGTTATTGTTGTTGTTGTTAATGTTGTTGTTGTTGTTAATGTTGTTGTTGTTAATGTTGTTGTTGTTGTTAATGTTGTTGTTGTTGTTACTGTTATTGTTGTTGTTGCTGTTGTTAATGTTGTTGTTGTTGTTGTTGTTGTTGTTGTTGTTGTTGTTGTTGTTGTTGTTGTTGTTGTTGTTGTTGTTGTTGTTGTTGTTGTTGTTGTTGTTGTTGTTGTTGTTGTTGTTGTTGTTGTTGTTGTTGTTGTTGTTGTTGTTGTTGTTGTTGTTGTTGTTGTTGTTGTTGTTGTTGTTGTTGTTGTGTTGTTGTTGTTGTTGTTGTTGTTGTTGTTGTTGTTGTTGGCTAAGGCACCCGGCTGGTGACCCGTGGGTCACGGGATGGAAACTCTACCATGACGGCCGCATTTTTGATGGAGACGAAAATGATTTAGGCCCGCGTGCTTGAATTCAGGTGCATGTTGAAGAACCCTAGGTGGTCGAAATTTCTGGAGCCCTCCACTACGATGTCTCTTATAGCCATATGGTTTTTTTTGGGGGGGGGGGGGTGTTAAACTTCATTAGTTAGTATTTATTTTTGGTGGTTTTCTACTGCTGCTACCTTGGAATTCCCAAGTTCAACGAATATTATTCAACGCGCTACTAAAGGGCGGCGCCTGCAGGCCGGAACAGGAGTTCGTCAACCTCGGAGTCTGTTTTTCGCGTCCTGATCATGTAAGATCTCTTTCAGCCAAACGAACAAATCTCTTTTAGCCAAACTAGTAAAAAACTTGTGGTAGCTTTTTCAAGCAAGCATTGCTACATCTGCTTTTGGTCAAGAAGAAAAACAGGCGTGCCATCCTTTTCATGTCACTGTACTTTTTCTTTTTTTAATGATAAGGCGTCTAGTCTTGGGTGTGAGCGATAGCCTTATGCATACGAGGTGCAGCTCGGATTTCATAGTTGTGGTTTGTCCATCTATTCTTGTCAGATCTACCAGTTGGTATAGTAGCCTCATGGCTGGTCGGTATAAATATGCATTGAACTTCAGAGTCCTCTGTATTATCAGGGTACCATTGTAGTTCTTTGGCAATGTTTCCACACATTGTCTTTGTGTACAACTGAATGGCATTCGCATAAAAGGCATTCGTGCATTTGCGCACAATGAACTTGCATTGAAAAAAATCCTAATACGTTGTGTTACAGTGCATTCCGTTTGACAGGTGACCAGGGGAGAAAGTCGGAAGAACGCGTATACTGTAGAAATATAAAGGCCGCTGATTTTACACAATAGTTTAGGCGAATTGATGCATACCGAGTACCAAATTATGGCTCGATTGTCGGCAGCCTGCATGCTAGTGTCATCCCTCATCTGTGTGGCCTTCGGCCACAGCGGGCAAGAAAATCGTAAGAGCTTCGTTGTTATTGGTGATTACTTTAATACAGGCGAGTTCACGTCTTCTTCCAGCTTTGTCCTTTACGAAAAAAAAATTGTTCATTTGTGCATTCACCTCAAAGCCCCTCCCTCAAGGCACATTTGTTGATACGCATTGTTTGTATCGCTTTGTGGACTTGTACGGGTACACGTCGCGTCTGTAGAATGAGGAAGTGAAAAAAGTATGTCATCCCGCACAATGAATACTCGGAATGTCAAGCGACCTAATCACATCCTAGGGATTTCGTAATATACTTGGATATTTTACACAATACAAAGAACCCAACACAACCAGGTGATTGTACAGTGACTGTATTCCCGAACATGTGAGCTCTTGAACATACTAAATGTCTTTACGGCTGCATGCCCGGTTGCCGCTAGGGTCGATCGAGATCAGAGTTCGTGATTTTGCAGCAAATGACTTCACAACATAACGATCTTCCAGCAACTTTTCTCGCACCGAAATGCTTCCTAAATTTGTGCAAGTAGACTATTCGACAAAGTATTCCTACATGAAAGCAAGCATGATTCTTCGATTACATTTTGAAACTAACGCAATACCAATTCATTGGCCAATTTAAGTATAGGGCTTCCGTGTGACTTTAGTAGTGACTTTTGCATGGTGGCACACGAAGACAAATCTTCTACATTGGGTCACAAAGAAAGCTTTCCACATTGGCGATATTACCAGTTGTACGGTATTAGCTAGCCGTGGTGGACCATAAAGACACGGGAGATCCAGGTAAGGTAAAAGTCAGCATCTCTAAACAATTAATGGCAATGGTACCTCGCATGAGCAAGGTGGCCAACCTCTTGACCTTTGTGTTTTTGCAGGTCGTTCTGGAGCCCATGACAGTGGCAGGTACACTGACGTCCGCCCTAGCGGATACGATGCCTTTTTCCTATAGCGGTGGTGAATACGGCACCTACTTGCATGTCCCTGACTTCAGCAACACCATTTACGGCAACGGCGCTTATGGTAACGGTGGCAACAGTGCCAATAACTTTGGCGGTGAACGATATGGCAGCTACGAATATGGTGGTGGCTATGGTGGCGTCCTCAACAGAGCCAGCGGCGGTAGTGGAGGATACGGGAGCGGAAATGCTGGAATCCTAGGGGACTACAATGGTGGCGTATTCGGTAGAGACTATGGAATGGGCAGAGCCGATGTGGGCTACGGCACTTATGGAGTAAACGGAGGCTACAGTGTAAGCACAGCTTGTCGAGTTGGTGTGGCTCAAGGTAGTGGCGCAGAATATGGCAACGGCGTGTTCGGCGCAGGCTACAGAAGTAGTGGAGTGAATGGCGGCTATGGTAGTCGTCGAGTTGGTTGACCTTGGGTGGATCAAGGCAAGGGTGCAGGATACAGTGGCTGCGGTTTCGGCGAAGGCACTGGCGGAATCGGCGCTCGCTATGACAGTGCCGTCAATGCGTCAATGGTGTTTACGGCGTTGATCAAAGCTATGGAGGCTACGGGGGTGAACACGCTTACGACGTTAGGCAAGGGAGGTCGTCTCCGTCTTGGTCGAAATTGGCGTTGGCATCAGTTGGAGAAGCGACGTCGGCGGCGGCGACCCGGGCAGAAACGACGGCGTGCAGAACGGCGGTGGCAATGGAAGGAGCGACGCGGGAAACAACGGTTGCAGAAGCTACAGCAAAAGCAAGAACGACACAAGCGAAAAAGTCAACCACGAAAACAACGGCAACAGGAGGGAAAAAGCTAAAAAGGGTTCCACATCCCGCCTTTCATTGGCGATCAATCGGAAGTGTTCCTGCATGAACATGAAAAAAGTCTGGTTTTCTTTTAGGTTAAGTAAGAAACGTACATCTGTTTTCCAAAGTTTCCTCAATGCGTGAACTCTTTTGGATTAACCTATGTGATCTACTATAGTACAATATCCCATACACCCTAAGGTCATTGCAGATACTGAGCACAGGTTGTAGTATTCAATAGGAACATATGACACTTCTTTGGTTCAAGAATACGGCAGCGGACTAAACAAGGTAGTAAAGCCTCGAATATGTGGTGCACATACCTACGCTGGGGGATGGGCCAACGACCGTGTAGTTCAAACAGTTTGACACTAGTGATGACCTATATAAATAGCTCACACCCTGTCACAGAACGAGCGCTAAAAAAGAGCGCGCCGCCAAATCCTTGCGACAACGGGCGGGAGAAACGCCGCGAGGTCAAAAGAAAAAAAAGAAAGCAAACGTCCGAGGCTCCCCGGGTGCGCGCTCTCCCCGCGGAAGCATGGCGTCGCAGACGAACCTCCTCACCCCACAACGGCGGCCGAGCAAGCCCGCGATTTTTCTAGAACGAACGGGGCGGGGTCCTACCGAGTTGACTCACCGGCCGGAGAGGGCATTCCAACCGTCTCGCCCTCTTCCCAGCCTTCGCTGCGCATCGCGCCGACGAAATGAGGAGAACGTTCTGGAAGGTGGCGCGGAAGGTATTTAGTCGAGCGGCCGAGACGAGAAAGCAGGAGGAGACGGAAGTGAGCGCTAGAGTGCGTAGGGATTCCGCCGTGTAGTCGGCGAAGGTTTGGTCCGTAGGGACGAAGCCGGAGATGAAGAGGATTTCTACCTGAGGGGTGACGACTCGAGCTACAGGCAAGAGTGTGTGTGTTTACCGCTATCGAGCGAAGACGCGGGGCAACAGCCGCGTGTGTGAAGCCGACGTGTTCGGGCGAAGAAGTTGAAGTTTGAAGAGTGGCCAATTGAAGACGGGAGGTTTCCTGGAAGAGAAACTTCAGGGGACGGCGGAACGACAACAACGCTGAACTTTGAGTGAGTGATTCTCGGGAGAGTATCATCCAGACTTTTGTTCCAAGAACTTTGGACTGGATAGGTTTTCTATCTCTTTAGTCTTTAAGTGTCTTGGTTGTTCAATGCATGCGACTGCATTGTAGTGCGTATTGTTGTCCGTGTCCGTTGTTTCAAGTGTGGCTGATTGTATTGTGTAGTACGTTGATTGATTGGTTTGATTGGTGACATATTGTATGCAACTATTGTGGAGTGTGCATTTTTGTGTATTATTTTCGATCTGCCATTATTGAGAATATAATTTGTTTGTTTATCAACTCTCGGCTCTGACTTGTTCTTTGGGCCACAGCCGGCGTCCGCTGGCGCACCAAAAAGGACCACTTCTAAATTGTCCACGCTTTCGTGGTGCGGTTCGGGGGGCCGATACTTCGGCTCTTGGAATTAGCCCGGCGATCGCCTCCCTAATTAACGGGACCGGTGGGACAATTAATCTGGCGTCCGCGAAACAGGACCTTTTGGTGCACAGTGTGTCCAAAATAGTGAGAAAGAGCCTCGAGTTGTTGATAGTGCTATCGGAACGATTTTGTGTGTTGTTCAGTGTTCTCGTTAACGAGTGCAGGGGAGTGTTCCGATAGACTGATTTAGGCAGATACTTTTTGCACGCGGCAAGGTTTTATTTGAGAGTTGCGAGACACCATGGATCTCGAAAAATTAGTTGCTCTGAGTGAGAAGATGGGTCTTTCTGGCGCCGAACTACGGAAGTGGGTCACCCAGAGGGAAAAAGAAGAAAAAGAGAGGGTCAAAGAGGAAAAGGCAGCTGAGCTGGAAAGGGAAAAGCTGGCGGTCGAAAGAGCCAAAGCGGAAAAAGAAGCTGAGTTGCAGAGAGAGAGGTTGGCAGCTGAAAGGGCGAGAGAAGAAAGAGAAGCAAAGGAGCGACAGCTGAAAGAAGAAAGAGAGGCAAAAGAGCGACAACTGAAAGAAGAAAGAGAGCAGCAATTGAAGTTGGAGCTGGAGAGAGAGAAGTTGGCAGCCGAAAGGGCGAGAGAAGAAAGAGAGGCAAAGGAGCGACAGCTGAAAGAAGAAAGAGAGGAAAGGGAGCGGCAGCGGCAGCACGAGATGGAACTCGAGCGGCTCCGTTTGCAACAGCGAAGTGAAACTCCCGCCCAAGCTAGAGTTGAAAGCAGCGAACGGTAAGATCACGGCTTCCGCTTGAACCCAAGCAAGCTGCTCGTAGCGTTTGATGAAAGGAAGGACGACCTAGACGCGTACCTCCACAGATTTGAGACGATTGCGAGGAGCCAGAATTGGCCGGAACAGCAATGGGCAACTGCTTTGAGTACCTGCTTGAGTGGTGAAGCGCTCAGTGTGTACGGTAGGCTGACGCCGACCGATGCAGCCAACTATGCAAAGGTGAAAGCTGCTTTGCTGAAGCGATTTAGATTTACTGTAGAAGGTTTCCGGGACAGATTTCGGACAGGACAACCAGCTGATGGTGAGACGGCTACGCAGTATGCTGCCCGACTTTGCCACTATTTCGACAGATGGATTGAACTTTCAGGGACAGCGCAGGAGTACGATGAGCTTAGAGAGCTGCTAATTAGACAACAATTTCTTACTAGTTGCCACCCAGGCCTGTCGCTGTACTTGAAAGAGAGGAAGGCTGACTCACTTGAAGGAATGCTTGAATTGGCTGATCAATTCTTGGAAGCGCAAGGTGGAACTAATTTGGCCAAGGTCAAGAAGGATTGTCCCGATGATTCGAAGAAATTGGTTCCCGAAGAAAAGAAGCGTGCACCAGAGAGCATTCAGCGATGTTTTCTGTGTAACCGAGTGGGTCATCGCGCGAAAAACTGTCGGACGATCTTTACGAGCCCTACGGTAGTGAAATGTTTTAAGTGTGGTCAGACTGGGCACAAAGCAGTTGCATGTCGAAACGGAGCGAGTCAAACTCACCAGGTATCCTGTGTGCAAGCAGCACCGAAATCCGATAATAATGCCGTCACGGACGGATTCGTAGAATTGAAAAATGGGGAGAAAATTCCTATTGACGGTGCTGTAATGTCAAAACAGCCAACCGGTGTTACGAAAGGAATGCCAGCGCGGCCTGGAAAAGTTGCGGGCAAAAAGGTTACGGTGTTAAGAGATACCGGCAGTTCCACTGTTATTGTCCGGAGAAATTTGGTACGGGAAGGTGAGTTAACAGGCAAAACGAAACCGGTTTGCCTAATTGACCGTACAGTTCGGATGCTTCCCGAAGCAGAGATTGAGGTGGAAACCCCGTACTTCAGCGGGAAAGTTACCGCTCTATGCATGACAACCCCCCTGTACAACCTTGTCATCGGAAACATCGACGGGGCGCGAGGGCCAAGTGATCCAGAATGTTTGGGAGAAGACCCGAAGATAGAGCCCTCGCCAACACAGCGGCCGCGAGATACAGTGGAGGAGCATCCCGTGACGGATCTCACTAGAGCCCAAGGTGAAGCTGCGGCGCAAGAGACAGCGAAGAAGACGATCGTGTCGAATAAGTTCACGGGCCGAGCAACCGGACTTACGTCGGCACGACCTCAACCGACCGACAGTGTAAAGGAGACGGAGTTAGCCAGCCGGGCAAAATGTAGAGGCATTATCAAGCGGGTAAATAAACAGACAGGACCCGTCGAATGTAATGACGCGTTAACGGTGTCGGAAGAGACAACGATGGCTGAGACGACGCCTCAGATATCGTCGTTGGAAAGGGCTCGCCGAAAAAGAACGTGGAAACACAAGAAGAGATCGAGCGAGCACCGCAAGAAAGGACGCAAGCGCAGCTCGAAACACACAGGATAGGTGCTGAGGAGGAATCAGAATGTGTTTGGCAGGGCTGAGTGACATATGTTGTGTTAATGTTCTTGTTATCCTGTGTCTCAAGTGTATGGCGAGCGAGTCAGTGTTCTGTGCGATGATGTGATGTATAGTGTTGTATAATTGTTGTATAGACAGAACTTTGTACGTTTGTATTGTTTGGAATGTGTGATGAAGTGTTGTAGGCATGTACCTGTGGCTATATTTCATGGGTTGTGTAATTGAATTACAATGTCCAATCGTATTGAGTGATATATTGTGAATGTGAAGTGTCACGAGCGACGGTTTGTGTTACAGTCGTTCAGAGTGTGTGGTGACTGTTCGCGCTCGTTTGTGTGGTTTGAATATTATGAGATAATATTCTTAAAGTGGGGGGCAGTGTCACAGAACGAGCGCTAAAAAAGAGCGCGCCGCCAAATCCTTGCGACAACGGGCGGGAGAAACGCCGCGAGGTCAAAAGAAAAAAAAAAGAAAAGCAAACGTCCGAGGCTCCCCGGGTGCGCGCTCTCCCCGCGGAAGTATGGCGTCGCAGACGAACCTCCTCACCCCACAACGGCGGCCGAGCAAGCCCGCGATTTTTCTAGAACGAACGGGGCGGGGTCCTACCGAGTTGACTCACCGGCCGGAGAGGGCATTCCAACCGTCTCGCCCTCTTCCCAGCCTTCGCTGCGCATCGCGCCGACGAAATGAGGAGAACGTTCTGGAAGGTGGCGCGGAAGGTATTTAATCGAGCGGCCGAGACGAGAAAGCAGGAGGAGACGGAAGTGAGCGCCAGAGTGCGTAGGGATTCCGCCGTGTAGTCGGCGAAGGTTTGGTCCGTAGGGACGAAGCCGGAGATGAAGAGGATTTCTACCTGAGGGGTGACGACTCGAGCTACAGGCAAGAGTGTGTGTGTTTACCGCTATCGAGCGAAGACGCGGGGCAACAGCCGCGTGTGTGAAGCCGACGTGTTCGGGCGAAGAAGTTGAAGTTTGAAGAGTGGCCAATTGAAGACGGGAGGGTTCCTGGAAGAGAAACTTCAGGGTACGGCGGAACGACAACAACGCTGAACTTTGAGTGAGTGATTCTCGGGAGAGTATCATCCAGACTTTTGTTCCAAGAACTTTGGACTGGATAGGTTTTCTGTCTCTTTAGTCTTTAAGTGTCTTGGTTGTTCAATGCATGCGACTGCATTGTAGTGCGTATTGTTGTCCGTGTCCGTTGTTTCAAGTGTGGCTGATTGTATTGTGTAGTACGTTGATTGATTAGTTTGATTGGTGACATATTGTATGCAACTATTGTGTAGTGTGCATTTTTGTGTATTATTTTCGATCTGCCATTATTGAGAATATAATTTGTTTGTTTATCAACTCTCGGCTCTGACTTGTTCTTTGGGCCACAGCCGGCGTCCGCTGGCGCACCAAAAAGGACCACTTCTAAATTGTCCACGCTTTCGTGGTGCGGTTCGGGGGGCCGATACTTCGGCTCTTGGAATTAGCCCGGCGATCGCCTCCCTAATTAACGGGACCGGTGGGACACACCCACTCTAGTCGATTGATCAATAAAACAATACCTATTTAGAAGAAATCACTTATGTATCAGCATTATAACTAATGCCTGATAAAATAGTTAGAACAAGTTAATTTTTACTAATTTAGAGAATGGCGCTCAAAACCGTCCTAGCTTTTTTTACCCGCCTGGTTAATAGCGGTTCTGCTCAACTAAACACAGACATAGTGTCGTGTTCGTAGAAAATTATTTCTGAACAACTGCAGCATAAAAATCGACGAAGGATTAACACTGTGCCTGTCGCCTTGTTTCGACCTTGCCTTGCTCTGTAGTTATTCGATAAGGTGTTATCCAAAGTCCAAACCGTCACTTCCGTAAAAGCCCTATAGGGATCATGGCATTTCAGCAATCAGGAAGAGGAGGAAGAAGAATATTTTGTAGTCAAGGTAAGCTTTGCTTTTTCATATTCTCCGGCATCATTTATATTTTGCTCAATTAACAATATCTGTTTTGAATCAAGATTTAGTAGATTATCTCTTCATACGTGAAGTGATGACCTCTTTATTGGACACGGAACGAAGGCCACCTAAACATAAGTTTCTAGGCTCACAAGACGCGGTCCTGAACCTCTCTTTCAGACAATTGCTTTCTCAACAATCTGCCTATACCCAGGAACCTCACACAAAATGATACGGACTATTTGATATCTGAAATGAGCTGGGTTGCGGCCGCAGCTGAGAGTTCCGTTCGAAGCAATGATTTCGATCCCATGCCTATGCATGTAGAGTTCGCAGAATCATAGGCGTGCTTCTGGAGGAGAGGGGGTGTTCCTGCTTTAAATACCAAAGAGAATGGCAGGGTCTGCGCGACGTCTCCCATACGTCTACAAACCAGGGGCCACGGGCATTGTGAGAAGCAGTTCAAAGCTTCATTTACATTTTACAGCGATAACTGTTATTTGATCATTAGGGTCGCGTGCACCACTGCTGTCCACCGCCGCCGGTGTCCGTAACCACTATGACGCAAAATAACTAAAGAACGAAGTAAATAAGAACACCAAGGACACAGTAGGACACGAACCCGGGTCCCTTGCATGCCAGCTGAGTATTCAACCACAGAGCCAAGCCGTATTTAGCTTGCTTTATTGTCTTGCAAATGCAGACTTCACATACTCGACGAAATACAAGAAAATAGCTGTACAATCACAAAGTGCAAGGGGGAACCGTCAGCTTTGAGCTGACAATTCCTTAGTACTTTGGCAAACGTAACAACTGCTCAACTCGCGCAATACACTCCGGTACATCCTCCTGCACCTTGAGCACTTCAAGGAAAGGGTGTACAGATTCACTAAAATATCACACTTATCACGCTTCTACATCCGCATTTTCAAAGGCATTTCGAGTTTGCCATATGATCTGTAGGCCCAGGTGCATAAGGTACGCCGGCCTCGTTTTCAACAGAAAGGACACAGATATTATAATTAACTTCACAGTAATTCTTTTTCAATGTATTCCCCAATACGTCCGAAAAAGCCACCCTGCTCCTGCAATATATAAACGCATATTTAATACTTTATGTTTTATTGCGTTAGTACTTGTGTGTGCTCCAGGGAGTGAATCCTTTCTTCAACTGGTAAAGTAACAGTCTGTAATTTGAAGAAACAAGTGCTTGGAACTCCTTTGCAAAGTGGGCATAGGCAGGATTGATGTCGCGGAAGGAATCGCATTATTATTAGCAACAAAACCTTTTAGAGCAGCAAAGGAACAACTAGGCATCACAAAATGTGAATGGCGTAATGAGTGGGTTGTCGAATGCTCCAACCCCAATACAAATGTTAAAAAAGTTTCAGGCATACCTCTTCATTGTTGTAAGCCACAGCTTTAAAAATTGCACAAAATGCTTTGGAAGGGCCGAAAGCGGATGACACGCTTCTCTGAAAAATGACGAAGGATGTCATGGCGAATGTCTCCCTACCACACAAAAATTACGATTAACAGCGTAGTGGATACCCTGCAAATTCGCTTGTACCAGTTACCCCAAAAAATGTTTTAAAAGCTCTGCAAGGCCACTCTTTCAGCTTTCACTGTGACTGAGTTGGATACTTTCAGGGACTACACAAAAAATTCTCGTTGATTTGCAGAGTTTAGAAAAAGAAATGCTGAGCTTTGTGTTGGAAACCGATGTCACCTGTGAAAAAGTGCCCAATACACGAAACCAGCAAGCACTTCGACGATCCACATAACACTAGCAGGCTGGTACTTCAATCGCGTGAGATCACTCGCTCGCTAGTGTCTTTTTATCCGTGCTTTGCTCGTCTGTCCCTGGTTCGTCCATCCGTCCGTTTGTTCATAGCTCACGCTACGTATTCTGCCATAGGCGAGCCAAGCCAGTGCTAATCTTTTTTTAATCTCATTGTTGCTATCTCTTTATTATCCAACCATGTAGTCGTCCTTTCTCCCATCATAGTTATTTCATCCCTCGCCGGATGAATCGGTGCTGTGTTCCGATAGTATTGCCAAACTGAAGGAAGGTAAAGAAAGTATGGGTCGGTTCACAATGATGTACAATCTTGCTAGCGGCTCACGGAGTTTCTCCAAGCTTAAGCATCTTCTCTTTTAAAAACTAAAGGAACCCTACTCCAATACCTATGAGCCTGGAAGTGACACCGTGGCACTCACCTGTCGCTGCGTATTCATTGGGTTAACGTTGTGTTTCATCCCACTGCTGAAGCAAATGTAAGTGATCCCATAGAAACAGGCACATGGTTGAGACCTACTCCGCTAAGCATCACTACAACCTCAGCCGCTACTGAGAAAACCGTGTTCTCTTTCAGTGACCTCATTTAACAAGATTTAATCATTTTTAATATTAATTGGCACTTAGCTAAACCTGCCTTCTCATACCGCATGCATGTAGTATTTCTTAACTTCAAATATATATATTCAATGGATGAAAGTTTTATTTTTGCAAGGCTTTTTTTCTGAAAGAAAAACGAAAGTTTCATTCGTTGCGCAGCTTACTATTATTGTAAAAAAAAAGGCCCTGCACCCTCTGACTTTCTCAACACACACTTGCTGCTTACGGGTTCATCGCAAGGCTACGCATTACGAGAGATTCATTGCAGAACATCGGCGACATAGGCTACGTGGTAAGCCACAGTAAGATGCGACATTGTCGAGGTGTGCCCATTAAGTAATATCATTTTAAAGCCTCTGTTTATCTTCGGCACTTGTGCCCTCAATTTGACGCGCTTTCAGCGCGTCGTTACAAAGTTCAACGTAGCATGGGAACTTTGTGACAAGTTCCTCATACCACGTTCTTTTGGTCTGAGAGCCAAGCCACATTCTTAAGAGTTCTGAACATTTTCTCTGTGAGTTCTCAGGAAATAGTCACAAAGTTTGCGGTTTCCGTACTACAGGTATCCTATTCTAGCCGACGCACATTGGGTGGACTCATGGACAACCCTTCTGAGGATCTTAGGAAAGGCAGCAGCAAGTTCGAGTCAAAAAAGAAAAAGCGTCGGGGGTCCAGAGCTTCACTTGGATCAACCAGCTCGAGCGAGAAGCGAGAAGCTGCTCCTAGTAGCGACTCTTCGTCTGCGGTAGGTCTTTAACGCATGTACGGCCAGCTGAAAAATGCCCCTGAATACGGCAATAGAAAATTCTGACATCTTCTCCAATAACGGCGCATGGCACGATGTTACGCTTCGCCGGTCGCGGGGCTCTTTTGCGTGTGTGTTGAGGCGACAGATTGCTGTGGTGGCATATTACAGTTTTCGTATTTATTTAGGGCCATGTCTTCTAAGACCATTTCCTGGCTAGGACCATTTTTTGCGGCAGGGAGGGAGGGGGGGGGGTACAACAACAAGTATCTATAGTACATTTTGTGACAGCTCCTATCTTTCCTTTTTTTCTTCGAAAGATGAAAGAAAACTTTAGTTGATTTGATAGTTCTTCGCCACTCCACGATAACATCGAACGTGACTGAATACAGTTTTGTCTTCACGATAAAAAATGTCAGCCGCACAAGAATCTGTGGTAACTAAATATTAATCTTGTAATAAGTGTAGTTTCTGTTCTACTCATGGCATCTGACGTGCTCATTCCCCCCTGGTTGTGACGATTCAACACATTTGCATGCATAGCCCTGCGTCAAAAATGTGGAAGTGCAATGTACACCAGAAAATATACTCAAATATACAAAAAAGCCTTAGCACGTCTTTCTGTTCGCTTTCTGCAGAACGTAGTCTATGCACTGTTCCAAATGCTCCGGAAAGTCGGAACAAAGTTCCTGACTATTTCTTACCGTAAAACTATCTCTTTCCGAAGCAATTGTGTTTATTTCAACTCACCCTTTTCTTGACACAGTTACCTAGTGTGTGCCGCTGGAATACTTTCGAGGCATTATGTCGAAACTGTTGCGAGCGATCAATAGCTACAACGTGCGATAACAAGCCTAGCTTATTGAGTGTGCTGTTTCTTACACTTAGGTTAAACTTCTGAGTTTTGGGGGCTAAATTTTCACAGTTCGGAAACACTCCAGAGTGAGTTTGGTGTGCTTCGGTGAGATCACTCCACTGCCGTGTTCTAGTGCACACACCAGCTTGGTTAGGCTTGAAGGCGCTTCCTGGAACCGACCAACTGGTTTACTGACGAAATTGCCAGAAGAAAGGAGAGCCCACTTTTTTGTACGAAAAGCTTTGTGTAAAAAACTTTGTGTATATGGGCAGCAGTACACATAGCCTTATACCGCCTATTCCCGATACCGCAGGCCACATCAGGCTCCGAGACAGCAGCCGCCGGTTCCCCACCTGTGGCTCCCGCTCTTCTCATCCGGAAAGGATCCAAGACCTCGACTGGCTCGAATTCTTCCAAAGAAGAGGAACGCGCCAGTCGCGTTACGCGCTACGTGCGAGATAAGCCCAAGGTGAGTGATACATAGATAGCGTGTCTTGTAGTCCGATGTCATAACATGACGTCATGGGTATGTCATCAAGCCATCACAGGACATTGTCACGTGATCAAAGGCGTCTATTCAGGGAGTCAGTGCGAAAACCATGTGATGTGATCATGCAGTGCCTCACGTAGCGGAGAAAGTGACAAACCACATTTGACGTAAAGCGATCTGGATAGAAATCGAATGGGGATATAATATATTAGCTGGGATGTTACGGCCAGAAACCACCATAGGGTTAGGAAAGACGCCATAGTGGAGGGCTCCCGAAATTTTGATCATCTTATGTTTTTTAACGTTCACCGACAGGACACAGTATACGCAGGTCTCTACCATATCGCGTCCATTTAAACGTGACTGCTTCAGCCGAGATCGAACCCGCGACCTTCTGTTCAGCAGCTGAGCACTTTAGCCACTTTTCCACTGAGGCGGACAGGTAGAAATAGGAGGAGGGGTAATCAGTACAATAAATTGTGAAGAAGAAAAAAGCAGAAAGATTCCTTTAACCTCTGAGTTGTTTTAAGCATGTGAATTAGGCACGATGCGTATTTAATGCGAAGTAAGCTTCGTGAAACTTTAAGTTAAAATATCACCGACATCATCGCAGCTTCATTGTTTGAAGATTTTTTTCTTTCTGGAACCGCTGGCCTTGTGTTCTGCATTAGGTATCATAAAGTTGCATTGATTGCAACAGTTCACCATTATACTGTACCCGATATTCTCATTCAGGTATTAGTATTGCAATCAGTTTTTAGTGAGAGATATTCTTCTCGCTGGTGAGTCCACCTGATTTTGCTAGTTTTTGCACCCACGTTGTGTTCCTCGACCAGCACCGTGAACGACTTAACTTGACCTCCTGTTGGTCGGCATTCACACATTTCTAACGCCACCATGCACAAAATATCGAGCTCAAAACGGCGATCGAAAATTGTGCCACAGAATTCTAGAATTGAAACGTACGAAATGTGTGTTGATTTTTGAACTGCCAAGTCAACATGTTGGAGTGAAATGCATTACTCCAACTCCGATAACATGCTCAGAACCGTCCTTGCGATGGAGTGCTCTAATTAAAAGCGGGTGCGACTTCGCGCGGCAAGGCTTGCGAGAAAGTGTTTTTGAGAACGTATAACTCGAACGCAACAGCCACCAGGCTTTTCAGAATACCAGCTATATAGATGGATCCAGTAGGCCTACAGACATCATCTCTTCCTGGTTAGCAAGTTCTGGCACAGAAAGCTTTCAATCTTTTGCATTTTAAAAGGCTGTGTAATAAACCGCAAAGCAGCCAAATCGTCACCCCTACTTTGTTAAACACAACCACATAAACGTAACTCACGATTACGGCGAGGAAAGCGTACAAAGAATCATAAGATTTATAATAATTAGGTAATTATCACGTAATTTGAAATAAATAATGCAGGCAGAATACACTAAATCATTGATGAGATCCGAATGAACAACTTTGGTGCTCGACTTCCTGGGATCAATACCACAGAAATTGAACTACGGCAGAATGCATGTAATGTCAATTAATGAGCATAATTTGCACTTTGCAATCATAGCACATCATCTTCTTGAATATGCTACTACGGAATCATGTGTTCATGTGTGACCCTTCGGTCCCTTGTGAGTAAGGTTCTATGTGAGCTATAGCATAGTGCTGTGTACGATTACAACCATTTAGCGCATCGTATATATAATAATGTTTTATTTTAGTCGATTACGTACACTTCATGTTCCTCGTTGTTTTAGTATTTACACACTTATACAGACTTTTAGTGCGCACGATTTTAGGCCTTTACACTAAGCTTCTTCTTTGACCACATCTTGTTATATGAGGCGGCTCTATTTGCGCATGAGTGGCCCTTGTGCCATAAAGCCTTATATATCATCATCATCATCAGTAATGTTTTTTCTTGACGTAATAATCAGTTGATTCATTTGGTTGTTCTCACCAAAAAAAAGCACCTCTAAAATCCCCTTTTCGCCGTAGCTTGTAAGCTCTCAGTAAGAGCTCTTACAGAGGCATCAGCACCTCTCACTGCATGCTGAGGTGCCCTTAAGCACGCCAGGATAGCTGCATTAGGAGGCTCGCTAAGCACAACACGGCTATATCCATGCCGACCGCAGGTACCACCAGAACTGGACATCTTTTCGAGAGAGCATTCGTCCATGGCGTCGCCAGTTCTCTCACCTCCTCCGGAAGGTGACCCCAACGCCGCACAGGGCGCAGCACAAGGGACGGCACAGGCCACAGCCCAAGCTAAGGAACCGAGTCCAGCTCCAGCGGGAGGGGCTCAGCCAGGTCCAACACAAGGTCAAGCCAATGACCCAGCCACGCAGCATGACGGAAAGGACAAACACTGACACCAGCTGCCTACTTCTAGCTTGCTTAAACACAGCGATGATGTCTTCTAATTAGGCGACTGCAATAAATGTATCAAGTGTTTTTTTTCCAATATCAGAAACCTCCCATTTAAAATATTTGCCAAATCTTCTGTTTCTTTTCCCTCTTCATGAAGATTTGCTGTTCCAAACTAGCTTGTCTCACATATTAGAACAATTCAATTCACTGATGGGAGTTTCTTCTGAAAACCAGTTGCGCACTAGTTCAGTAGCAGGCCTGCCGAAGCTTCTCTGCGGGAATTGTGAGCTTGTCAAATGATCTCAAGTGTAATCCACTGAAACACTGGAGTCAAAGTTCGCCCATCTGCAACCACACAGTTTCAAGCGAAACAGGCGTCGTCCTTCAGGGGCATGAGCCAATGGCGTCCCTGTCGACGAGCTGAGTGCGTCTGATACTGCTACTGCGTGAACACGCTAACTGCGTCTTGGGATGTTGCATTGCTCTCCCTCGAACATGTCCTATACCAAAATAACTAGCTCTGTGCAGTTGGTTTTTCCCCATCATGGACGTCGCTGAGAAGTCTCGCCGAACATAAAAGCGCACGCGCTCGCCCGAGAACGGCAGCGCCGACGGTGAGCGGATCCCACCGTAGGCGCCAAGCAAGCAGAGGGGGAATGACTTCGTCGATTGATCAACCCTGCTTTAGAAAAATGTGACACAGGAGCCAAACGATATAGCAACTGAAAAAAAATTCCAAGGCAAGAGCCAGAAAAACACAAGTTAAACGCCGGTACCGAGCCTACCTGAGGTGCGGGCATGAAATAAAAAAGCTGTGAAAATAGAAACGTAGGGACAGGGCACGCCGATGCGCTTACCCAGCATTCACACACAGGGGAGCTACCCAAAATATGTGCTCCCTAAGCTTTGGGTAAACTGCGGGAAAATTTGGCTGATGAACCTCCCCTCTTTGCCTTATGTGTTTCTTAGGCGCGAAGTATCTTAAAGTCTAGGCTTGTCCGTTATCCGGTAATGACGATAATGGAATAAGCGTGTTCCCAGACCCCACATTCTCCTCCTGCCAGCATGGCACAGTACACGCACGGTACCCATGGCGCGAAGCACCTTAAAGTTCTGTACGTCATCATGGTAACGCTGTTGAATAAGCGTGTTCCAGACGCCAAGCTCTTTTTCTGCCATAGATGAAAAACATCGTGAAAGCGCTCACGCCTGCAAAATTCAAAACTGCAGCGCCGACTAGAGGCTGCTACTCCGGAGACGATAGTGTGGCATGCTGCGGCTCAACGTCTGCGCGAACAGCAAGACTCCAGAGTCGAGACCTCGGAGAATGGTTGCAAAACGACAACGCCGCCAACAAGCTGCTACTGGCGAGTTGAGGACGTGGGAAGTAGCAGCTCAATGCAAAAAACTCGCTGTATATACGGGACACCTGCTATATGCCACTCATTTACATGAGCTAGTGGGCAATGTCACGGGTGATTCACCGCAAAAAAACGATCCCCAGTGCTTTTCCTACTCGTCATAATTCACTACGTGGATTTCTATGTGTATATTTATTTCAGCTAATTATGGGACACCTGGCACGCCGTTTAGGCTTACATCTATCCACATATCGAGGCTTCACATCGAAAACATAGCTGGAAAAGGTGCAGATCACAACAAAAAAGGTTACTACGGCTACATGCACATCACAGTTTTGTTAAAAGTCTGGTGTTAGTATATTTAGCCTTAATTAGTATTTATTTAGCCTTAATTTTATTTTCTTCGACTACCAGATCTCATTTGTTTTAGTGGCTGAAATTCTGTCACTGGTGCTCCCCTTATGATCAATGAACATAGTCATTGCATGAGCTGCTTCATATTCCCAAATTATCTTTGCACTGCACTTTATGTTGCTGAGAGCCATGAATAGGCTAAGATGTTTCATGCGCAACTACCCACGCCTTCCAGAGAAGTTCTCTTAGTTTGGGTGCTGTACTGAAAGGGCTGTTTTTTTTAACAAAAATTCCAATTATTTAGCAAAGTCGCAAGTAGGTGATTTCACCCTTATTATAGTTTTCTGCCTAAGGGATGGCTGAGTGATTTCACAGGCATAATATGTGTGAGTTTTTTTCAGACACACTACTGACCAGCTACACCGAATATTCTTACTTTTATCCTTGCTCAAAAAGCGAAATGTTACAAAAAGGCTACAATATACACTAGCAAGAAATTTTCACTGGCATAGGAGTCAATGTCTTAGTATATACGAGCAGCTTGACAATTATTATAGATGCGCAGAAATACTAACATTACTGGAAGAAAAAAAAGCACTGACGTCATAGAACAAGACACTCTTTTATGACGTATAGAGATGTGGCTATAAGAGGGGGAAAAAGAGAAAAGTGAGCCCCGTAACTGTCTGTATCAGGGTGCGACACCTCAACAGTAGCTCACAGGGGCTGAGTATGAGGAGGGATTCAAAGGATAGAAGTAAAGATATAGGGAAAGAGAGGTGCGCTGAGCCAGCGAGCCAGGACATATCCAGGGGGTAGGAGAGATAGGAAAGATGGAAACACGGTCACAGGAGTCCGAGGAAGGGGCACCACTCGCGAGAGCTCTTGTCGGCGTCAGGAGATGGCGTAAGGCAAGTCCAGTAGATCAGAGCTACGCTGTCGTCGGAGATCGGCGTCAGGAGATGACGTAGGGCCAGCCCAGTCGGCCAGAGCATGCTGACGTCGGAGATCGCGAGGGCACAACCGGTCGGCACGGAATCCAGTCGAGCGAGATCTTTATGACGTATACGTTGCAATGTTGTATATATTATGCAATGTTTCACTTCTAGAGTCTCTTTTGTTTCAATAAATACTCACATTGACACCAACATTAATCGTTGTGCTATTATATGAAACCGCTCAATTCTTGGTAAATCCACCCTAGTGAGTGCGGGCCCGGTTATAGCTCAACAACAACCATTTGTCTCTATTCAGCCTTCCTAGTCAAAAGATCTTCCGTCACTGGGAAGTTTCACAAAATAGTGAAACATAAAATTACAATCATTTATAATTAACGTTGCATCAAAAATGTGATCTCTAAATAATTTAGGTCTTACTAAATGTAAATCGTATATCTAGTATGTATGATCCACCCGACTCTTGGCTGATTTCCCTGACGGGGAAGGTGCCAATATTCCAAGGAGCATCATCATCATCAACAACAACCTTTGGGACTCTACCTCGAGCCGAGCGCGTGAGCTTGATCGCCACCTAGATCGCGAATAATTGAGTGGCTGAGAAGAGAACGTCTTCGAAGCTTGGCTGTTCATTCTCCATTAACGTCTCAGGGACACCCGCATCTGAAAGGAGACCGCCACTCAAGGTTTTAACTACGCAAACGAACATTCAGCCTTAAGAAGATTCTCTTTTTATGCACCAAGTCCTGGACACGGTCGTTCTCATTAGGCCTCGCTTCTCGTGGTCTCTCATTCGAAGGTTCGCAATGGCCGACGCGTTCAGCGACACACTGGCGATGTCACTGGTCGCCGTCGGCCTCATTCTCATCGGGCTGCTCATCTGGGTGCTGATGCGCTTGTACAACCGCGAGTACCGCCGGGAAGCTGCACCTTCGAGGATAGCCACGCCGGGCACCGGGAGTCCGGCGGATACGACGGCCACAATAGTGGGTCCCTTCAGAACATCAGGCAAGAACCTCCCCACCCACGGCATGGATAGTGGCAGGCCGTCGGCTGAGGTATCTGAAAAGCCGAAGGATCATACAGCGGTAAGCGTATGGCCGCCTCTAAACGTCTTGTGACTTGTGGATGATTTCAGTGACATTATGCATGGTTGCATGACGGCAAAGTTAATTAAGCATGATGGCATATGTGTGGTGGCATTATAGCATGGTGTCATATTTCATGGTGACATAACGGCTGATAGCATAATTTATAAGGAATTCATGATTTATTGTAATACCAAGTGAGTTAGTACATTGCTTAACGGGGGTGTCTATTGTCCCGGCAACCAGGATAATTGATCAGAAGTATTTCTCCCAGCAGTCACCTCCCATTGGCTCTCATAAGTCCCGTGACTAACTGCCGGGATAAATTTTTGTATGATTCTCCCGGCAACCGGTAGAACTTAATCTAACCTATTTAACATAACCTAACGTAGCCTAATCTGACCTAACGCACGCTGGGCCACGTCTGTACAGTCTGTCTCGCAGCCTAATCCAACCTAATCTAACGCACGCTAGGCTACGTATGCCCAGTCGGTGGTGGTGGTAGTGGTTAGAAGAGGAGAAAGACGCCTAGTTTTTGCAGCCCGGTTGGGAGCACGGTGATGTGCCTAACCTAACCTAATCTAACAAACGCTGGGCTACGTATGCCCAGTCTGTCCCGCATCTCTTCTCCCCACGGCAGTCAGTCACGTGACATACGAGAGCCAATGGGAGCTGACTGCCGGGAGAAATTATTTTGAACAATTATCCCGGTTGCCGGGAGCATAGACACTGCGTTGCTTAACAATATGCTTGTGGCCCGACTGACAGTCTGGATCCCTATTCTGTCGCCTGGGATTTTTGAAAGGCGGAGTGTCTTATGGTCAAGCTCATTCAGGTGTGCGGCGTGACCACCTCTTACTGCGCATGTGCAGCCCTCCCCTCTCGTCTTCTTTGCTCCCCTTTTTCTCGCCTCGCCACGCCGACGCAGGCAGCGTCCTACTAGCCTCCGCTCTTTTCCCCCTCTCTCTTCCAGCCTACAGAAATCATCTCACAAAGAAGCATTCTGTGCACCTCCGAGCAAGTTTTTCTAACATCATTCACTTTGTGGATATGGCGGTGATCTTTGTCACTCGTTTACAGTTGTGCTGTTTAAACCAGGGTTTTTTTGTTATATTTTTGTCAAGTAAGATGCCAAAGCTTCCCGGATGTGCCGTTAGCAGTGATGTTAACATCATTAACTTTGTGAATTAGGTGGTGATCTTTGTCACTACTTTACACTTAGGCTCCTTGAACCAGTCTTTTC